GGTATAGTAAGGAAGGGGATTGCATACGTGGGGAGCGGGGCTGCGCATACAGGGGGTTGCCCCATGCTAGGGCAAGACGTATCTGGGGGAAGGGTTGCCCCCGTAGGAGCCCGCATGCACAGAGCACTCTGTTCCCAGCTACTTCAAGCGGACCCTGCCCAGACTGGGTGAACAATGGATCCTGGCGCCACGCCTCCAACTCGAACCCTGACTGGGGGCCGCGTGGGCCGACGACACCGGGCTCCGCCCCATCCTCCTCCCGGCGCTGCTGGGCTTCAGGCGGGGAACTACCTCTCCCAGCGTGCCCGGGCCGGGAGGGGGCGTGCCCGCCGCTCTATCCCGGATCTCCCCTCGCTCGGCCGGTGGGGCGGTGCAGGCTGGGGAAGCGGGCACCAGGCGGAGCCATGGCGGAGCTGAGAGGTGAGCGGCGGCCGGGGCCGAGCCGGCTCCGGCGGGGATGCCGGGCGGGTGGGTCCCATGGCATTGGGGAAGGGGCTGCAGGGGGAGCTGGGCTAGAACCTGCCCCAGCTGCTCAGACTCTCCCCGCCACGGGGATGCGCCTTCCTCGCGGCAGCGGGCGGCTCCCCGCAGAACGAGGCACATGGCACCTCCTACGCCGGCAGGGAATCCGCCAGCACAGGCACAGCCAGGCTCCTAGGCCAGGCGTCCCTGGGGCTGGGGCAGGACCGCCCTGGGTTCTGTGGGGGAGGGGCTGGGCCAGGACGCCTGGGTTCTATTCCTGGGTCTCGCATGCGAGGTTTATTGATGGGGGAAGGACTGAGAGGCAGGACTCCTGGATTTTCTTGGTGAGTGGGAAGGGAAGATAGAGGGCCTCCTGGGTTCTATTCCTGTCTCTGGAATGGGAGTGGGGTCTGTTGGTTTGTGGGGAGGGGCTGGGGGTCTGGACTCTTGGGTTCTATTCCTGAGTGCTGCTGATTTCCACATGTGGTGTTGGTCCAGCATCTCCTCTGTACTTCTGTTTGTGTATGGAAAATGGGTATAATGGTCCTTGCCCACACCTCTGCCAGCCACAAAACTGCCAAGCGAGAGACAAACTGTAGCTTGCTGGTTCAGGCACCCCACTGGAAGGTGGGAGGTCCTGGGTTCAGGCCCCCTGCTCCAATCACTCTTTAATTATTTATCCACAGTGGAACAGCTTGAACAGGAGAGACTGAGGGAGCCCCACAATATATATGTGGGGTATATCAGAATATCCCATAGCTCAGTGCTCATAACTCCGACAGGTGGGAGATGCCTGTTCGCATCATTTCTTGTCAGCATCTCCCATTGATAGTTGTAGGTGGCCTCTCGCCTAGCATGTCGGCTTTTGTGGATCGCATTCTAAGGCACCTACCTCCACTCGTTGTATAGGAGCCTAGTGGCCCAACAGCTTTGTGGATCACAGTGTCGTTCCTGCGATTTTCTAGGTGCCATGACGATCAGCGTGTCTAAGTTCCTTTGTCGCTCCCACCCTCTTTGTCTATCCAGGCTCTCATGTGGTCCCCATCATTGTAGCATATGAGGGTTAAAGAAGTGTTTGTTTGTTTGTTTGTTTGTTTTTTTGACGAAAGCTTAAATTCTGCAGGACTCAATGGCTTTGCTTACTCCACCCTCCTCTTCCTTGTCCCTTTCCACTTGTTAGGGACAGTTTCCTGCTTAGCACTGGCAGGTAGAGTTTTCAAGGCCTACCAGGGATGCCCTGGCCTGCCCTGCGTGAGCACTTGATGAGAATGCAGGTTCAGCCAAGCCTGCAAAGTCTGCTTAGGACCCTGAAGATTAAACATTCTGCCATCAGCAACATGGTGCTTGAGGTGGAGTGGAAGCCAGCTCACTTTCCCATAACTGTATGGGCTGTGCAAATGACAGTAAACACACATTTTTGTCTGGCTCAGCAGGTGTGACTCAAAGACGAGCAGGGGGCAGATCTGGGGTGTGAGGATGCCGTATTTACCCAGTCACACTTTAAACCACATTGGGGAGGAGGTTTGGCCAGTTTTGGAGCTGGAGGCTCTTGGAGTAGTTGAATGTCTTACGCTGGGGCACAGATTTTTCACCGTCATTTGTTGCTCTAAACTGAAATTGTCTAGTAGTGAAACATACTAGACTTTAGGTAGTGGACGTGTGGAACTGGACTGTGTGGTGCAAGACCAGAGCATGTAGGTTTGAACTGGAGGGTATTGAGGTAAAATCATGAATGGTGTGGAGAAAATGAATAGGGAAGTGTTATTTACCCCTTCATTTACCACGAACCAGAGGTCATCCAGTAAAATTAATAGGCAGCAGGTTTAAAACAAACAGAAGGAAACTTCTTCATACAACACACAGTCACCTTGTAGAACTCGTTGCCAAGGCATGTTATGAAGGCCAAAAGTATAACTGGGTTCAAAAAAGAATTAGATAAGTTTATGGAGGATTGGTCCACCAATAGCTATTAGCCAAGATGGGCAGGGATGCAATCCCATGCTCTGGCATCCCTAAACCTCTGATTGCTGGTACTGGATGACAGTGGGTGGATTGCTCTATAACTGTTCTGTTCATTCATTCCCTCTGAAGCATCTGCTACTGGCCACTCTTGGAAGACAGGATACTGGGCTAGATGGATCAGTACGGCCGTTCTTATGATCTGACTTGGAGGAGCTGTAGAACCATGCCATTAGCATGTGCTCGATGCTGTGCAAAATGCATCACTGCTCCAAGAATCGTGTGCTCTAAATTAGAGATGCAGGAGCGTTCAGACATATGGCAATGGTCTCTCCCGGGCCCCTAGGGGCTACTGTAATACAACTAATCCTGATAATCCATCATTTTCTCTGGTGGATGTTGTTTAAAAGTCTTAATGGAAGAAGTGAGTTTTCAGGAGGGGAAAGTGGTTGGGTGTATGGGAGAGGAAGACTGTTTTGAGTGTGAGGAACTGCATGGGAGGAAGCACGAGGATGAGCGTGGGAAAAGGACACAGAGGGCAGTTAGGGGTCAGGATAAGTTGTGCAGAGACCTAGAGATGATGAGCTTGAATTTGATGGAGGCGCTGAAAGAGGAATGGGGATGGGATGGTGCATTGATCTGAGCAGCAGCATTTTGGAGGGGGCAGCTTCCCAGAGGGGAGAAGATTGCAGCAGTGGAGGCAAGGGGGGGGGGGGGGGCGTGTCAAAGTATGGACAGGAATTTTAGCAGGGGTGGCCGGGAGTTGGCAATGTCAGGCCATTTTGTGAGCTGGTGATTTTTGCCTGTTGTGTCCTTGGATAACCCTTTGTTTTTGTGTGTTTGCTTAGTGTTTCCCCTTTCCTGCGTTGTGCAGAAATATGCCTGGGGGAAGATCGGCCCGGACAGCGAAGTGGCCAAGCTGCTGGCTAGCAGTGATCCACTGGCACAGATCGATCCAGACAAGCCATATGCTGAGGTAAGGCCCCAGCTCCCTCCCTCTGCCAGTCTTCTGTGTGGCGCAGGTTTTGCTGAGATCCCAGAGTCAGCCACTTTCCCTCTCCTATCTCCACCCTCATGACTGAGGCCAAAACTTGGCTTCTTCCTTTGGAACATTGCAGCTATTACGCGCATGAATAGCATCTACAGTGGCAGTGGCAAGTATGCTCTTGATCCTCATGCTTCAGGGCATAAGCAGATCACCAGCTGGGGTCAGGCAGGAATTTGAATCCCTTTTCCTTGCTTTTCACTGCAGTGCAATGCTGACAGAATCTGCAAAGGGGTGGGTGGGGATGGGGGGACTTTGGCTTCGTTTGAAGCATTGCATAGCTGGATTGAGCACCACTATGGCAATTGTGTTTCAAAAGGTACTGAGGAGAAGATCAAGATCAAGCCTGGCAGATCAGACCTCTGTATACTTTGACCTAGCTGGGAGATGAGGAAATAATTATAGGTGGGTGGATGGGAGAGATGCGCTTAGAAGCTAAGGGGGATGCTGATATTCAATCTGAACCGTAGCAGGAAGCGAGAGCTGAGAACTCAAGTACAGACAACCCTACCTCCTTTCCCCCTCTCCTTGAACCTGCCTATTTGGCCTGTCTTCTAAGCCTGTCGAGAGCCATGCTGGAGATGCTAATGGCTTTGTCCTGTCCCTTTTTTTCCACCCCACAAATGCCTGTTCCAGCTCTGGATGGGAACCCACCCTAGAGGCGACGCTGTTATTCTGGATAATCGAATTCCCCAGAAGACCTTAGGACAGTGGATAGCAGATAATCCTGGATGCCTGGGATCCAAGGTCAAGGAGACCTTCCAGGGCCAGTTGCCTTTCCTGTTCAAAGTGCTGTCGGTTAACACAGCCCTGTCCATCCAGGCCCATCCCAACAAGGTAAGAAGCTGTTCTGAACCCCCTCTGAGTGCACTGCTGGGTCCTTGCAGGCAGCCTCTCTGCAGATGTCACTGATGTAAGCTGTGCTGCTGAGTTGGGCCTGCTCTCGTGGCATGACACTCAGGAGTGCACCACATTCATGATCCCCTACCCACTGAGTTCTGGAATGGTTGCAGATGCTGCCAGCACCTGGCTGTTGCACTCCATGCCCAGAGGCTGCTAAGTACCTGACAGAGCATAGCTAAAGACAGACCTTGCTCCAAAGCCAGTGCAGATACAAAAACAAAACCCCCTTCAACTTGCACTCATCCAACCCCACTGGGACAAGACGCACCTTGTGTCTCACCCAGATGGGTGCCACAAACATGCTGTGGTGGCTGGAGGGGAAGAACACGGCACGGCCTCTAAATCTTGAGAAGGGGCCCTGCCGTATTGCCGTCAGATCATATTGTATTTTGACCCCATTGATTTCAATGGCTGTGACAGAGCATGGAGCACATGGCAGAGTAGCTCTATGTTAGGAACAGGTCATTCAGTAAAACGCTTTCACTGCTTTTCCCGAGTTGCCTCCCTCAGTATAGGGACACGCACAGCGCTATGCACAGAAATAAAAATAATGGGAACATTATTGTCCTCTGCCCCGTCTAGAGTCTACACAACAGGCTGCAGTTGAAATTGTGCCCATTCAGGTGTAATGTGAGGCCTAGGTGTCTACTTCAGCATCAGTCTTGTTTGAGCTTTTGCCTGTTACAACCGGCCCAGTGAGGCCACCTGAGCATCTAGTGCCAGTCTGGCATGTAGAGCAGTAAGCCTGATCTGGCTCTGGCAGTGCTCCTATGTACGCTGCTGCTTTGTACGACTATGAATTGTAATAGCTTAATGCAGATCAGCCAGTGGATGTTGTGTACAAGGGGCTTTAAACATAAGGCAACAGTTCTGTTGATCATAAACTTTTGTTAAGCTCTTTGTACAAAACCTAAATGTTGGGCTTGAATCAGCCACTGGGTGTCATGGCCAGATCTGATTGCTCGGTTGAGGAGCTGTTTTATTGCTCCGTAACAAGAAGAGGGCATTAGGGCAATAAAACTTTCCTTTCTGCATCATAAGGCTCAGCCCTCAGCCCTGAGATGTTTGTTCTCGACCCGTTTCCTGGGGAGAAAATAACTCTGACTGAAGCATAGGAGAACTACTACGCTCGTCTTGGGCAGAGTATGGGCCTGGAGCTCTCACTGAGGGATGTTAAGTGCTCTGATCTCAGCAACTGGTTCCCATCTGATACCAAAAAGCAGCTTTAAATTAGAAACACAGAAAGAATCATTTGACAGGAAGCCCTCAGCTCAGCAGCAAGTGCCACTGCCTACTGCTGAGACCCCTCTGTTCAGCCTGGTGAGATGTGCACAGTGGAATAAACCCAGGGGACATAAGCCCAGCCCTTGCTAGCATGTGCTTGTATCCCAGATCTCCTTGGCGCTGCAGTGTTGCCATGTCTGCTGGCTGCACTTGCATTTCCTCAGCATCCTGTGTTTTAAAATGTGCAGTCGCTGTGCTGAAGTGTCCTGGTGGGGGCCGCAGCAGTGGGCAGAGAAGGGAGGTAGATGGGGGGGATGTTTAGCTAGTTGGGCATTCAGGCTGAAGCCTGGCACGTAGCTTGCCGTAGCCCCTCTCTGGGAAGCCAGGAGGATGGTGCAGTGAGGGAGCCCAGGGAGTGAGAATTCTGACAGGGGTGAGTCACTCTGACCCCCTAGGCAGGACTGACTTTCCTCATTGAATCCATTTGCTGGCATACCCACAGCCGGGTGGGATCTCTTCCCCAGGATGCAGCCTCCCAGCGCGTGAGCTGGCGCCGAGGGACCTGGCTGTTGAGGAGGCATTGCCCGGACTCTAACTCTTTTTGTCCTCGTCTCCCCTCTCTAGGAGCTGGCGGGAAAGCTTCACGCCCAGTTTCCCGAGCACTATCCAGATGCCAATCACAAGCCAGAGATGGCCATTGCGCTGACCTCCTTCCAGGGCATGTGCGGCTTCCGGCCCGTGGAGGAAATTGTGGCTTTTCTCCAGAGTAAGCACCAGGTGGCACTGTTGGCTGGGGATGTGCTGGGCAGGGCAGGAGAGGGGGGATAAAGAGATCCCAAGCTTGGGGCTGCCGGCTTGAGTGACAACATCCGAGTTGGAGGAAAGAGGAAGGGTCAGATGCTATGGGGCCGGGGGGGAGGGCTGAGCACTTGTAAGGGTTAATAAGATCCCCTTCAGTGTATCCCTGCAGCTGGGCTGGGCATATCCTCCTCCAGCCCCTGGCGGTGTCGCTCCAAGCAGAGCCCTGCAGGCAGGAGAAATGCCAACGCATAAGGCCTGGTGCAGTGGTCCCAGAAGCCGAGCTCCGGGCTGCGAGGAGCCCCAGGCTTGGACTCCCCTCTCGCTGGGCCTGCCTGCAGGGGGCTGATCACTCTGACTGACCAGCCGTGATTATGGGGGCTGCTCCATTGCTGAGCCCCTCGCCCCCAGGGGAAGCTGCCCTCTGCTGGATGTAATGAGCAGCTCATTTGCTGCCCTAGCTTCGTAATGCAGATCAGCACCTGGGAAAGGCTCAGCGGAGCAGCTCGGAGACACTAAGCCAGACAAGACCTGGGGCTAGCACCTCTGTGTTGGCAGTTACTTTATCCCTTTTCCAGGCTTTTCAAACACAGGTGCCTAAAACAGAGACTGAAATGCCTAAGTTTGCACCAGAGTGCAAAGCTGGGCCCAGGGAATGCAGTGATGGGGCAGGGGCTCCTGGCTTCTATGGCCTGCTCTGCTGCTGCCATGCTCTGTGACCATAAGCCAAATGCTTTGTAGAAGGGGGCGTGGTGTTAGCAGCCCATCCCTGGGGGGTAGCTGAGTGGGTGGGTTTGCCCCTGCTATCCTACCCCAGCCCAGGCTCCTGACAGGCATCTGCTCTTTGCAGAGGTCCCCGAGTTCCGGGCGCTGATTGGCAACGTGGCAGCGGAGCAGCTGGAGCGCAGTGTGTGCAATGACCCCCGAGGCGTGTCTGCCGCGCTGCGGGTCTGCTTCACCAGGATGATGAAGAGCGAAAAGAAGGTCTTTGTGGACCAGCTGAACATGCTGGTGAAGAGGATTTCCCAGGAAGGTTTGTTCTGCATCTGTCTGCGACGTGGAGAGCCCTGCGTTCCCGGGGCGGTCAGGGATGTGGCTGTCTCCTCTTCCTGTCGGTCCAGGAGAAGGAATGTCCCTTGGAGCCGGGACAGCTCAGAGGGGATCCTTGCCCCACGCTGGCCCTGGCAGTGCCTGGATTAGTGAAGGGGATGGAGCTGCCATGGATCTTTGGGAGCAAGCAGGCATCTTGGAATGGGTTAGAGGGGGCAGCATCTTTGTAGCCACTGACCGGCTCTCACTTGTCAGGGCTTTTAACACCACCCTGCTAGGTGGGACCAGCTGCCCCGACTGGGTGGGTGATGGTATTGGATGTAATGACTGGGTTCTCTAGGGGGATGCTGCAGGTGGAGCGGGCGTGACACACGGGACAGAGTGCACATTTCACTTCTAGCTCCTCCCCAGCTCCATCCTCCCACAGTGCAGTCACCTAACCTCGCTCCAGAATAACCGAGGGCTGTGGCCTTTGCTTGCTGCTGATTGGTCTCGTGGGTGCTAGCTGAGGCTGTTACATTGTCAGTCGCCTCCCTGCAGGAACAGCACCTGGCACCATCTCCCCCTGCCGTTCCAGTCAAAGCAGAGCGCCTTGGGGAAAGCCTGTTCGCCATCAGAGGCAGGAAACATCGCCTGAAGTGCACACAACCTCCAGCTCTCCACTGCTCTGTTCATGTAGGAGAGTAGCTGTCTGCTGCTTGGACAGTGGTAGTCTGTGAAATGGGGAGTTGCTACAGAATATGCCTGCCCTGTAGTGCTCCCTGCTGGCCAAATGTGGCCCTGCTGGCATTCCCTGCCTCAGTTTCCCCTCAGCAGGGTTTCCTGTCTGTTCTGGAGATTCATGGATTAATCCTCTGGCTGGGTCACTCTGAGTTCAATCCCCTTCTGGGGTAACAAAAGTCCAAACAAAGTTCTTTCACCTCACTTGGGCTCTTCTTCAGCCCGCCTTCTGGGCTCCCTTTATCCCCGAGTTGAGAGATCCAAAGTGCTGACTCCTGGGCTACTTCCCTGGTGTCCTTCCAGCCTATGTCAGGACTTGCTCCCTAGAGTTCCTTCACCAAACTAAATTCTCTGCCCCTTTGTGAGGCCCAGGTGCTTATCACGCTGCCACCTGACCCCCAGTAGTCCTGAGAGGGCGGATCAGCTGAGCGCACCGTGGAAGGTGTGGTCCCTGACTGCTTGGGGGCGTTAAAGATCCTAAGTCACTTGTGAGAAGCATGTGTAGCCCTGGCGTCCTGGCTGCTATCTGTCTTGGGTAACTAGGCTCCGCCCTGTGATTTTTAGCTGGGTCTGACACCTCTTCACTGCCTGCCCTGGGAAGCTTTGCTGGCATTCGCATGCCTGAAGTGGCTGCAGTTCAGCCCCTCCCCCTGTATTTGAACAGGGGCCCTGTAAGTTGCCCTGGAGCGATACCGCCAGGAAAGGCCTCTGTGAGTTCAGCACTGAACAAGAGTAACGTTATGACCTGGGGACAAAGCCAGAGCTTCAGATCCCCGCCCTGTATATAATTTACCCAGTAAAAATAAACTGAGTGGAGCAGCCAGGTGAGCCTGGAGGGCGCATGTGTATTTATACCAAAGAGTAACAAGCGTGGAGAGGATTTTGCCTCCTGCCCTCCCTGCTCCAGCAGGGCAAAGCTCTGAGCACTCTTGGCTGGAGCTCGTTATATCCCAGCATGGTCTTTCCCGTCAAGGCTGATCTGCTCCTCGAACCAACCCAGCGAGTGTTCGCCCAACAAGCTGTAGGAGAGGAGCGTCTGTCTTTCTGGCATGGCCCACGACCGTGAGTGAGGGCAGACTGTCAAGAAGCAGGGCACAAATCCTGAATTAGCTGTGAGTTCTATACTTAGATTTCACCAACCACCTAACAAGTGTGAACTCGTAAAGCCCTAAAACAGCCTTAACATGGAGTCTCAGACAGTCCCCTGGGGCACTCCGGTTTATCTTGCAAGCCTGCCTTATGCCAAAATTCCCAACAATATCCAGGTTACTCCCAGTCCTAAAGGACCAGTCACTTATCCCAGGTCAATTGTACCTTAGATCTCTTACCAGAGGCAATGCTTGTAGCCATCCTGTGATAAACTAACCAAAGATTTATTAAATAGGAAAAAGAAATGAGTTATTGACAAGATTAAAGCAGGTAAACATACACACACAGATGAATTACAGTTTTAGATTTCAAGTGGTAACAGATGCGTGCTGTAATATGCAAGCTCTATATGTCCTTTAGAGCTAACCCAAGCTGAGCATAGCTTGCTTATGCTTAGAAATATTGCCCTCTGAATTCCAGGCAGCATAGTGATAATTCCTCCTTGGCAGGGATTTTTATGCTCTTCCCCCAGTTTTGAAGCAGTGATGGGCTGAGGGCTTGTAAACATCCCCTCTTCACGGGCGTGGGGGGAGCAATCAACAAAATCTTTTGTCGCCTGATGTTGCACAAAAAGAACAGGAGTACTTGTGGCACCTTAGAGACTAACAAATTTATTAGAGCATAAGCTTTCGTGGGCTACAGCCCACTTCTTCGGATGCATATAGAGTGAAACATATATTGAGGAGATATATATACACACATACAGAGAGCATGAACAGGTGGGAGTTGTCTTACCAACTCTGAGAGGCCAATTAAGTAAGAGAAAAAAACTTTTGAAGTGATAATCAAGATAGCTCAGTACAGACAGTTTGATAAGAAGTGTGAGAATACTTACAAGGGGAGATAGATTCAATGTTTGTAATGGCTCAGCCATTCCCAGTCCTTATTCAATCCTGAGTTGATTGTATCTAGTTTGCATATCAATTCCAGTTCAGCAGTCTCTCGTTGGAGTCTGTTTTTGAAGTTTTTCTGTTGTAAGATAGCCACCCGCAGGTCTGTCATTGAATGGCCAGACAGGTTAAAGTGTTCTCCCACTGGTGTTTGAGTATTATGATTCCTGATGTCAGATTTGTGTCCATTAATTCTTTTGCGTAGAGACTGTCCGGTTTGGCCAATGTACATGGCAGAGGGGCATTGCTGGCACATGATGGCATATATCACATTGGTAGATGTGCAGGTGAACGAGCCCCTCTGCCAGCATGGCGCCCGCCGGGGCATCTAAGTGCGCCTGCGTACTGGCCGGCGGACAAGCATCTGCCGAAATGCCACTGACAAACGGCATTTCGGCGGCGACACCTCTGGATGACACTGCTTCTCAGCAAGCGGCGTCACCACCAAAATGCTGCCGAAAATCGGCGGCATTTCGGCGGCGACGCCTATTGACGTTGCCGCTTGTCAGCAGCATTTTGGCGGATGCTCGTCCGCCGCCATGGTCCTCTGTGGCTCGTCGTCTGGTGCCCGCCAGACGAAAAAGGTTGGGGACCACTAATCTAAACACTAACCTCATTCTTAGACTCTAGGATCTGTTTTAACTATCATAACCCACAGGGGAGCAAGACTGGCTTCCAGCTCTGCATTTGTCAGTGTGCAATGAAGTCTGGGCCTTGGCATGAGTTGGCCCCCAAGCTTATGCCAGATCTTCAGCAGTCTCTCTTTCCTCCGGTTGCTGGGGCTCTGTCGGGGACGCTCCCAGAGCGGAAATACAAAGGAGCCCTTTTATTCCAATGGAGGGGAAGCGTGAGCCAAGCCAAAGAGGCCTCCTTTCTAATGAAGGAGTTTCAGGTCAAGTGAGGCTGCCCCAGGCTGTGCTCCAGCAGGAGCGGGGGAGAAGGAGGATCAGTTCCAAAAGGATACCCCCTCCCCCACCCCTCAAACGGCCATTCTTGGGTGGGGGAGAATGCCCCTTCTGACCTGCTCCCCACTGGAAGAGGAGGGAGGGGCTGAAGTAGAAAATGGGGGGTGGGATATGGAGATGAGTATCTGTCCCTGGAAGCCCCCCTTCCTCCTCTCCTTCCCTGGGAGGACTGGGACATGGGAAGGAAAGGATGGACCTGCTGGATGCTGGGGAGAGTGCCTGGGGAGAGCTGGGTGTAAGACAGGGAGAGGAGTGGCGGTGGCATGTGTGTGGAATGGGCAGGTGGGCGGAGGGTTTTGGAAGTGGAATGAAGGGGTGGGTCCAGGTGTGTGGTGATGTATCGTAGCTGGCAGGGTTTGTGTCTGGCGGGGTGGGGAGTAAGCATTTCTGCTATCCAGGAGATGCCCTTGTGGGAGAGAACAGGCCACTGGCAGTCTCTCTCGACTGCGATCGATTGTTGGGTTTAGTGAGACAGGGTGGAGTGGGTGGCCTGTGATGTACCGGAGGTCAGGCTAGGTGATCAGTTCCTTCTGGCCTTATACTCTGATTGTATGATCCTGCTGTCCCAGGCAGTGGCATGGGAAAAAACAGCCCACCCATCCCTCCCCTAGAGCAGAGCCTGGGGACATTAGACCCTGTGTCTCTGGAAGTGGATGGATCTGGGTGAGGCTCGTGTGGCTAATGAGGTCTGAATCGTAACCACACCCAGGCAGGTTGGATCCCTCGTTGGCCACCTGTCCTCACTCGTCCCATCTCTGGGGATCTAGAGGGACTCGGATGTGCAGCTGGACCTGCCTAGGCCTGCTCTGGCCTCCTGATGAGGAGGGTTTGGGGGAACCCCGAAGCCGCTGGCAGCACTGGGCGCCCCCACTGGAGGGCTGTAAGCAAAGCAGTGGCTCTCGCCAAAGGGACTAAGTTGTGGGGCTGGTGCTAACCTGGCTTTGCTCTTGTCCCCCACAGTTGCTGCGGGGAAGGACACCTCGGGGAGCAGTGGGAAGCTGCTGCTGCAGCTGCACTCGCAGTTCCCGGGAGACATCGGCTGCTTTGCCATTTACTTCCTGAACCTGGTGATGCTGCAGCCAGGAGAGTCCATGTTCCTGGGAGCCAACGAGCCTCATGCCTACCTCTATGGAGGTGAGATTGAGTGGTGGCTGGGCAGGTGGGGCGGCTGCTGTGTTCCTGTGCTAAGCCAATGCTATTGAGACCGTTCCGAATAATAGCATTTGTGGTTCCACTAATTGGTGGATATTGACTCCTATAATGGGATGGGCACTTTGTAACCCTGGCTACGGTAAGACTGCCACTTCCAATCATCATGATCCATGACTTATGTTGATCTCCAGGTTACATCTTATCTCAAGCACCCTGCCTTGGCCATTGTGGGACCTGGGATACCAAACTAGGTGGCTCGTTGGCCTTTTCGAGCATGGTCACCACTAAGTGTCTCCATGGAGGATGGAGTGAAAGGCCGCCGCTTGGATCGTGCTTTCTTGGATCGATGCATTGTGGAGGGAGGTGTTTCAGGCTTAAGATTGCCACCTACTCCCTTACCCCGTAGGTGCCCATCCTGGTGTTGACAGCAGCTGTTTGTGGGGAGGAAGTGTTAGCCGTGTTAGTCTGTATCAGCAAAAACAACGAGGAGTCCTTCTGGCACCTTAGAGACTAACAAATTTATTTGGGAATAAGCTTTCGTGGGCTAGAACCCACTTCATCAGATGCATGGAGTGAAAAATACAGGAGCAGGTATAAATACATGAAAGGATGGGGGTTGTTTTACCAAGTGTGAGGTCAGTCTAATGAGATAAAGCAATTAACAGTAGGATACCAAGGGAGGAAAAATAACTTTTGAAGTGGTAAGAGACTTGCCCATTACAGACAGTTGACAAGAAGGTGTGAGTAACAGTAGGGGGAAATTAGTATTGGGGAAATTAAGTTTAGGTTTTGTAATGACCCAACCACTCCCAGTCTTTCTTCAGACCTAATCTGATGGTATCCAGTTTGCAAATTAATTCCAGTTCTGCAGCTTCCCATTGGAGTCTGTTTTTGAAGTTTTTTTTGTTGAAGAATTGCCACTTTTAGGTCTGTTATCGAGTGACCAGAGAGATTGAAGTGTTCTCCTACTGGTTTTTGAATGTTATGATTCCTGATGTCAGATTTGTGTGAATAGATATGTGGACAGAGTTGGCACCGGGATTTGTAGCGGGGTTTGGTTCCTGGGTTGGTGTTTTTGTTGTGTGGTGTGTAGTTGCTGGCCAGTCCTCGCCCACAGACAGCCCCCCCAACCTGAAGCAAATACTCACCAGCAACTACACACCACACAACAAAAACACCAACCCAGGAACCAAATCCTGCTACAAACCCCGGTGCCAACTCTGTCCACATATCTATTCAAGGGACACCATCATAGGACCTAACCACATCAGCCACACCATCCTGGGCTCGTTTACCTGCACATCTACCAATGTGATATATGCCATCATGTGCCAGCAATTCCCCTCTGCCATGTACATTGGCCAAACCGTACAGTCTCTGTGCAAAAGAATAAATGGACACAAATCTGACATCAGGAATCATAACATTCAAAAACCAGTAGGAGAACACTTCAATCTCTCTGGTCACTCGATAACAGACCTAAAAGTGGCAATTCTTCAACAAAAAAACTTCAAAAACAGATTCCAATGTGAAGCTGCAGAACTGGAATTAATTTGCAAACTGGATACCATCAGATTAGGCCTGAAGAAAGACTGGGAGTGGTTGGGTCATTACAAAACCTAAACTTAATTTCCCCAATACTAATTTCCCCCTACTGTTACTCACACCTTCTTGTCAACTGTCTGTAATGGGCAAGTCTCTTACCACTTCAAAAGTTAGTTTTCCTCCTTTGGTATCCTGCTGTTAATTGATATATCTCGTTAGACTGACCTCACACTCGGTAAAGCAACCCCCATCCTTTCATGTATTTATACCTGCTTCTGTATTTTTCACTTCATGCATCTGATGAAGTGGGTTCTAGCCCATGAAAGCTTATGCCAATAAATTTGTTAGTCTCTAAGGTGCCACAAGGACTCTTCATTGTTTTTTCTCTTACTCAATGTCTATGACATGATGGGATGGCATGTTTCCCTGAGCCAGGCATCCCTAGTCTTTCCCACAGTGAAGGGACAGAGGCTTTTCCTCCTGCCTGAAGCCTGCTGGAGCTGAGTTTAGACACCTGGCTTCCCAGGAGATGCTCTCTGATGGGGAGGGTCCCACCTTTTGCACTGACACTGAGCTCCTTGCTCCCCAGACTGCATCGAGTGCATGGCATGCTCCGACAACACTGTGCGAGCCGGCCTGACGCCCAAATTCATTGACGTGCTCACCCTGTGTGAAATGCTGAACTACACCCCAGCACCCAGCAGCTCCAAGGTCTTTGCCCCCACGCAGAGCCGCTTGGATCCCTGTGTCTACCTCTACGACCCGCCTGTGCCAGACTTCACTGTCATGAAAATAGAGGTGAGTGGGGACCCTGGATCAGCAAATGAACGGGGGGGAGGGGAGCCTAGTAGCAGCATCAGACCTCTCCTCCGACGGGAGCAAACAGAGACAGCATCCTTGCCTTTGGATCTCTCTAGCAGCTTCTCCATTCCTGTCAACGAGCAGCGGTAATTGGCTTTGCAAAGAGCTAGAGCTAAACCTAAGCCTCCCTTGCCAAGGGCCATGTCACTGTGATATGGGGTGGGAGGGAAGAGACTTCCCAGTCAAGGAGGGGAAAAAAGCACATACGTCAGTTGGGCTGCCCATTAACATCCGACTCTTATCCCCTTCCCTCCAATGCTGTGACCTGAGATGAGATCACTGCATCCCCTCCCCAGCCTATTGGGGTTTCCCCGTTCTCTCCCACCACCTGTACTAGAGGTAGCATCACGGGGTCAGCTGAACCTGGGACAAGCCACACCGTGACTTTGAGACCATAAGGCAATGGGATTAGGGGAGCAATGATACTCAGACCTCAGTGGTTCAGGACCCACATTAGCGACCAACATTACCCAAAAGAGCCATAGTAGTAGCTGGCTATAATCCTCTATAGTCCTGTTTAAACAGTATGATGGGAAATATTTAGGGTTTTTTTTATATATATTATTCTCACAGCAAATAAGTTAATAATTTAGTGCAGGTTGATAACTTAATTGGTTAATAACATAGTAAAAGCATCCTGATTGGTTAATAACTTAGACTGGCTAATAATTAAATCAGTGTTTTAATATCAGGCCCTGCAAAGAGCCCCAGGAGACATGTGAAAGCCACTTGTGGCTCCCAAGTATCACTGGACTCAGCTAGCTGGCTCTGGGACAGGTGACGGAGTGTGTCTGCCCAGCCTGCCCCCTGAAGCCAGAGTGTCCCATGTCCTCCAGTGAGCTTTGCCTCTGGATCCTGCTCCGTTTCCCCCTCCCCCGTCCTGCTGCTGCAGCTGGTGTTGGCAAGTTTCGCTTTGCTTTGAATGCAGAGCTGGGGGAGAAATGCCCACCTCTTTCCTGGGTCACATGTTATCAGCTCTTCTGCCCGGGCCTGAAAGCTGCAGCCAGAGGGGGAAGCCAAGCCCCAGTCTGAGCAGCACTAGGATGTGCTAAACAAAGCAAGCATCTCTCTTTGCTCAGTGCTTGGCATGGTGTAGGAGCTAGAATGACATGCAGAGCTGAGACCTGGGGGTGTTTAGCTAGGCCTCGTGCTCGCAGTTGAGGGAAGTGATGATAGGCAGCACTGCTGTTGGTTTTTCCCTCTTCCTGCTGTGTTCTACCATTCACTTGTCTCCCTCCCTCTCCTGGTGCTGTCTCAGCTGCACAGGCATCGCTGCACCATCGTTGGCTGCTCACCTCTCAACAGGGTGGTGGTGAAGGAGCTAGAGACTGACTCCAACATCTGGAGCTTGGCTACTGTGAGCAGAGGCAGGCTCCAGAGTTAAGACACTGTGCCATGGTCGTTTGAGATACAAGTACAACTGCCTCCTTGAGGAGGCAGAAACTTGCATAGGAATTTGAGCCAGACTTTGTTTCCATGGCGAATGTGTTTCCATTGCAGATTCCCTCCTCTATTAAGCTGTACCTCATCTCAGCCATCGACTCTGCCAGTATCCTGCTGGTGATCCAAGGCACGGCCGTGGGCACCTCCACCGCTGCCATTTCTGAAATGACCCTGCGCCGGGGCTCAGTGCTCTTCATCTCTGCCAACGAGAGCGTCTCCCTGCACCTGTCCTCCCTGGATGGAATGCTGCTCTTCCGAGCCTGCTGCCTCCTCTAGTCTGGGACACTTGGCACCTACCCTGCTGTGACTCCACTTAGAATAGATAGAAACTGGCCTGCGCAAACTAGACTTGCGCATGATGGGTTAGCTTGAAACTTGCCCACAAACCACTGTGTCCAAACCTAAAGCAGCAGGGTCCCAATCTGTAGAAACAGCAACTCCAACTCCCATCCCCTGACTTGCATCTCTTCAGCTCCCAGCATTAAATGAAGTGCTGGGAGGAAGAGTCCATTACCTTCCCCCCTCCCATTATGTAACACTGTAGAGGCAGCTGCTCTCATGTCTGCTCCAAGTGGATATGGAGAGTAATAGGTGAGTTTCCCTAACATAGTGCATCCTGTAGTGCCAGCAGAGCATTACCTGCACTGTGACATCTGTTCCTTTTGGTCTCAAGTGGGCCATGGAGTTGTAGCTGGAAGGGGGTGGGGGGGAATGTGGTTGGGATTTGTATGGTGGTAAGATGCATGTATACTATTAAGATAGGAGTCCCTTTCGGAGCTACCACAACTGGAAAGCACAGTACTGTAAGGGAACGCTGGTGAGTTCCTGCTCAAGGAATGCTGTGCCAACCTGTCCGGGGGGAAGCTATAGAAAAAGATTGTTTGGTTGTTGCAGGAAACTCAGTGCTTTTTCTCCTAGCTCGTCAATTTCCATCCATAGTGATGCAGTTTCAAGCCCCGTGATCCACTGTTCGCAGTGGAGCCCTTACCCTATTAGCTGGGAGTAGGATATTCCCCAGCCATAAACAGATCACTGTGCTGTGCAGGGGAGAGATGCTCAAATGAACTCTGTTGAAAGGTTCCATCTCAAGTGGCCTTGATCATCTTGCTGTCCCTTATGGACACATTGTATTTGAAATAGGTGCTGGGTATAATGGAGAACTCATGTGGCTCTCACCCCAATCTGTCCAAAGCAGTTCCGGCAGCAGATAGGCTGACAATTGGGATTGACAAGCCACAGATTCAAAGTTTCCTCTGTGCCTGCCACATGCTAGCATTGACTCATTTTCATGAACAGCAAGTGGAGGTGGAGAGTCAGGGGTGGAGTAAGGCTGATAGGGAGCCTGAAGTGACCAAATGTGTTTTTGGCAATTAAAGGGAAAAGGGGGGGGAGGGGTGCAATCCTGAGCTGTACTGGATCAGCCAGACTCTCCATTCGTGCCTTCCTCCACCACTGACAACAGAATTGCCTTGGGCTTAAACTTCCTATCTTCAGAACAACAAAAGGAGAGGGGGCTGTGAGACTCCTCCCCTCCAAATTCTGCCACAGCAAGGCAAATTCCTTAAAGCAAGACAGCAGAGGGGGTGAACTGTGCACTTTTAAGATGAGAAAGGGCCTATCCTGCTCTGAAGCAGGCATCTCAGAGACTAGGTGGATGCAGAGGCTGTGGTGGCTAGGAATTAGAGCAGTGGTCAGCATCAGAGCTCCTGAGTTTTATTCCTGCTTCTGCCTCCCTGTAGGATTGTCAGCAAGTCACTTAACTTCTGTACCTCCAGTCCCTGCCCTGCACAATGAGAATAACTGATCTACCTCACAGGGGGGTTGAGGCTGCATGGATGAATGTTTGAAGTGCTTGGAGCTCCTTGGCTGAAATGTGCTATATGAGTAAAGTATAGCACATATAGTATCCTTGCCGTTCATTGGGTCACGGGGAAACAGTCTTCACTGTCCCCCTCTTCTCAGCCAGACTAATCCCCCCTAGCTCCACTGCACTGGAATGGTATTTAGATTGCTGAAGGGGGAAGCTAGAAGGGTGGTTAGTTCAATTTGCTGGACCCAACAGGTTGCTCTTGTTAGATTTCATTCTGTTGGTTAGCCATGACTCCCATGTTCACAGGTTAGTGCTATCCATTATACAGGGCCAGGCTTTCTACAGCCCCTTACTCTGTCCTAGCAAGACTGACACTACCTAAGCCTGGTGTTATTTCAGTGTGCCTACAGCTATAGATATTGACTGTGTCTCATAGTCTAACAGAAGAGGTCATCCCTACAGGGGCAGTTGTTTACTATGGCGTGGCTAGCTTAAGCTTGCAGGTGGCAGTTGCTGGCATTTTTGGTGGGAAGCAACCTGGTTGCATCATTCCACAAGAGAAGAGATGTGCACCCACTCTTGGTGCTAATGCTAAGGGTAGCTTTGGCTTGATTTGTTCACATCTTAATGGCAGTCCTAATGTGTAGCCCTTGAACTGTCTTTGCCCCCAGGGTGGTGACTAGGTCAGGCAGCGGCACAGTGACATCAGTATTAAAGAATTCACTTTAGTTTTCCAACCCCAGAATGATCTGCTGGGAACACACAGGCTGCAGCAGCCAGGCTCGTGGGGTGATAAACTTGCACTGGTGGAGTTAATCCTTGTTCTTTCACCTGCCTGTTGCTCATTTCAATCTTAACCATGGAGACTCAGCCGGGGCTCTGTCCCTCTTCAGTTTCTTGTTCGGGGGGGGGGGGGGAGAGGCGGGCGCGGGGATCTATCACTGAACCTAGATTAATCTGATAAGTACTTCCTCAGGACCCAGTCAGAATTACACAGCATCAAACTCTGCTCCAGTGGAATAATCCCCCCCTTTGTTTGGCTTTAAAGAAAAACTTCTATTTTGATGTAATATTTTAGGCAATTCCTCTGTTGAGAGGGGAACACAGTGTTTGTTGTACAATGAAGCTGAGCTCTTAATTAACTGGATTCATTCTGGAGCCCCAAGGGTTCAATAGGCTCTGCAGCGGTGGGGAAGGAAAGCTGCAGCAAGAACTGAACCCAAGGAGTAGCTAGCCTTAGGCATATAACCTGTATTTATGAACTAGTGATGAGTGAGACTTTTCTTCCAACACACCTGGCTGTGCTGGTTTGACTTGTGCACCATGTGCCGCTCTACCAAGAGCTATAAATCCATTTAGCAGGATGGCATGGGTGGGGCAGCAGTGACAGAGAACCTCGCAGCATGATATGTCATCAGCTAGGGTATATTCATGGACTGGAATGTTGTAACAAAGAGGAATAAATAAAGAGTCACTGCAGAAGACAAGCCCTGGGCACTGTCTGCACTTTATTTCAAAATGGGTATTAAGAAGATAACCAGAATGGGCCTGTCACCCCTGGGAGGAGGAGGGTATTCTCTCACCCAGGATCAGAGCTCTGAGCAGTCTCCCACCCACTCCTTGCTTGTAGTACTTCATGCCAGTCATAAATAGCTTCCAAGAGACCTAAGCCTGGCTGAATTCTGCCGAGTTATCTATTAAAAGTCAATCAGGAACTCTTTCAGTTGCACCAAGAACTGCATGCGATTGTTCCCACTTACAGTAAAACACACTGCTTGTGTAACACAAGATCAAGTTTATTATAAACAAACACTTCCCTTGACCAGGAATATATAAAACTTTGTCATAGTTCTCTGTAGCAATACTTAAAACGTTAGATTTCTTTAGAAGCTGGTTGTCCTCTGCATATCACAGCGAGACTGATTTAAGGCAGCTTTTTAACTTCATGTCAGATAGAGCCCCCCTTGTCTTCTGTCCTTGCCCCAAACATAATGATCTGCTCACTACTTAACCTAGAGGTTCTGGACTAAAGACTACTTCATAGCCACAACTCTCTTGTATTGTCTTGGTAGTTGAACAAGCACCATTAAAGAACGTTAGACTAGAACAGAGATTAACTTTGAGCTAAAACAGCTCCCTGGAATTGACTGGGAGAGTATTTTCCACATCAAAAGGATCTGTAATTCAGGCCCTGAGATTTAGCAGGAAAGGGCACAGCATCATATTCCAACTCCCTGTTTTAACAAGTGAAAGGCAAGTAGGAAGTTAAGCACAGAACCAAGCAGACAAACCTTTCAGGCCACTACTAATGTGAGTGCACCTGTGCTGATGGGGAAGTAAACCCTCCATAACCTCTTCACTGCTGTCAATCAAACATGGACTTAGTTGCAACATATAGCCCTAAGTAAGGCAGCACACTTGGTGTGGCCCACAGCTTTAGAGGTGCCATGAAATCCAAGCTCATTTATTCAACTGCTGGGATCAGGAAAGTGCCACTGAAAGCAGCCAGAGTCAGCCAACTTCTAGGCCCAGCCCATACAGGTACTTACAGAACAACCCTCTCCTCAAGGAGAAGATGTAAACAGAATGGGCTCAAGTGCAGTGGTCTGGGACCATCCAGCTGAGAAAAGGTCACAAGGGGAGGGAACTCAAGACACTTCATATATAAATTTAATCAGCTTCAGCCAGCAGAGACAGGAGCCTCAACAACAGTTGGTGACATATGCCATCCAAGATTTTAGCATCAAGACATCCTGTCCTTGAGGCCTCTATTACATCCAGGAGTCATTCTGGCACCCAAGCCAGCATCCCCTCTAGGCTGCAGCATTAGTGTCAGACTATGCTCAGTCCCAAAGATCTACATAATGACCAAAAGGCAACAGTAACGTGGAAATTGCTCCCTCCTCTGGCCATGACTGCTCAATCACTGCACACAGCTGAATACTAATGAAGACACAGTATAAAGGACAGGGCTAGGACAGCGGTGGTACAGAGACTACACTGCAGAGCTCAAAGCCTCACTGCCAATCAATGAACATCTGACTAGCAGAAAAAAATAAATAACATTTAAATATAAACCAAACAGCCCTTCAAGTGCTTCCATAGCATCATAATCTCTACATAAAACAATCCACTACAAAGAATTACTGTTCGTGTGCACAGTAAGCCAATGGCAGGGAAATCACAGTTTTGGTTGCTATTCCTGTTCTGGAGGGCAAAGAATTAGTAATGGAATTGAAACTAACTAATGCTGAGCATCGTGGGAGGAGGCTCAGAATCCTCAAGCTACTTTGATGCAGGTTGGTTTTTTAAAAGAATTAAATTTCTTTAATTTTTAGGATAAAGACCAAATCCATCTTTATGAATTTTGTCCTTTTAGAGGAAGTCAGTTCATTGTATCATAATGCTCTAGGAGATCACATCAGCACAATGGATATATTTCAGGACTGTTTCAACAGCACACCATATTTGGGATTGGCTCACCAAAAAAAAAAAAAAAAAAAAAAAAAAAAAAAAACAAAAAATTAAAAGATTTTTAAAAAAAAAAAAAAAATTAGGAATAAAAAAAAAAAAAAAAAAAAAAAAAGCATGAAGGGAAGCAATCCTGACTGTATGCCGCGATGCGGAGATTCATAATTGACAGGATGAGTAAGAACAGCACAAGACTGTCCTGATTTTGTATTTTTGTAACTAAAAGGTTATCAGCCAAATTCACACTAAAACTTCTCACTCCTAAATTCAGACCTTCCATGGCAGAGTAAACCCAGAGTAAAACTACTATGACCTAGTCAGAAGCCCCTAAAACTCACTAATAAACAGAAATTGACACATCCTACAAGAGATGTTAGCGGTGTTTCTATATAATACGGTGTGCCACTGGTCCAGTCAGACAACTAGAAACCAGTCACCTGATTAATCACATCAGATGCAAGGAATGTAGAGTGCTCTCAGTAGGCAACATGGCAATCTTTAGCAGACAGCCTCTCAAATAAAGCAGCTCAAGATCCTGCCCACACCTGCCATGACCCTCATCTCCACCACACCCAGTCACTTCACGGTGCCTGCCTTGGTACTCAAAAGGAGCAGCAAGCTTTGGTTTTGATCACTATGTATAGATTTAGTTCAAAGCAAACCCAGAGCA